TTTGAGACCTAGCGCATAAGTAGATCAAAAACTTCAGCATTAGCTTTCCAATTAGAATTAAAAATATACCTCTCCACTTGGGAGGCAAAGAATGTTGTCCTAGAGCCAGCACGAAATAGTGATCCTAATACTCCGTATTCTTGGTCCATTTCATGAGCAAGATTCTAAATCAGTGAATTTACAAAGCCAATTCACTCAGGAAAAGTGTTCAATACAAAAAAAAACAGGCAATCTTATTCAACAAACAAAAGTGAGCATTTTACCTTGACTTGTTGAAGTACAGTATGGATTTGTGGTTTGTTCCTTGATGTTGCGTCTAGATGTTTGTAAATATCGGCAAGGGTATTGTCAAGTTGGTTCAGCTGCTCAAACAGTGGCCGACGATCTGTCCACACTGTGAGTTCATGGTCGAGTTCAGGAACAACAAGGAACGTTCTCCAGCCACGAGACTTCTTTGACCTAGAAATTAATCACTACTTTAAAGTGACTTTGCCAAAATTTGTAGCGATTCGTCTTCATGATCACTGTTGTTCACCAAAAGCGCTTCGACGCATCAAACATTAGATGCAACAAAAAAAAAGAGAAAAATTGGGTTTCTTTGAACATATTTTCAAAGAAAAAAGAGACAACCAAAGTATAGAAACTCATGATTTTTCTGTACCAACGAACGAAACAACTTATCGTAAATTTTCCGTACCAAGAAACGAAATGCCTCTCATAAATTTTCTGTGTCATGAAACGAAACCACTTAAAATCAAGTTTCAAGACACAAACCTCAAGACGTCACCAAAGATATGGTCACCAATGTATAATACATCTTTCCCTCGAGCTTTTACGATTTTATGGAATGCATCACTCGAACCTGAACAAGAATGATTAAGGCAGTGTTGTGTTATACAGGGTGCCGCACAAACATGTACCCACTCATTTACTGGAATTTGATCTTTACAAAGTTTTTGTCAAACTTGATGGTATGAGGCTCAATAGCTTAAAAACCGTTCAAATGTCACATATTTAACGAAATGAGAAATAGTGCAAATGCTTATGGATAAAAACTATCATTTTTCTCCAATAATTTTTCAACATCCAAACAGCTCAATATCCTGAAAATGTTGTGCAAGACTGCCTTCAAAAAAGCTATGTTTTTTTAGAAGTTTGATCTATAATATAATATAATAATAATCTAATATAATTTTTCAAAACAGTTCCAATAAATCTGCCTGAGGTCAAAGCCTGATTGTTAAAAATAGCTTCTAGGATTTAAAGAGCTGATATCGAGCAAAAAAATTCAGATAGAACCTCATGTATGGTTATGATAGCCATAACCTATTAATATTACTCATAAAAGTAAGGCTCAAGAACAAGTGAGTACATATTGTAGGACACCCCGTATATTAAGGATGTTACCACAAAAAGTTGCGATCGCACCTCCTGAGTAGACAACACCTTCCTTCAGTGGACCCGTGTGAACCCCTAATTTTAGCGCTCCAGTTTTGATATCCACCTAAAATATATTAGCCAGCATAGGGGTCGAAAACTAAAAAATTAGGCATCCCACAAAATTCGTTAACTGAACTGACCTCACGGAATACGGTACCCTCAGCAAACCATTTAGGTTTCTTAGCATCTACTACACAAATATTGAAATATGATCGCCAGTCACGACCAAGAATGAAAGACATCATTTTCTGAAACATCTCCATTTACGGAAAGTCCCGAGAATTTGGACATTTATATAATTCTTCTAAAGCGAACTCACATCCGTATATCTATAGTCACTATTGGTTAGTAGAAAAGTCTGACGTCCATTTTCGCGTAACTGTTTGAGCAAAACAGTAGCTCGATCATCTTGGACCACATATTTCTCCATATTTTGCATTATGATGTCTTTCATGTTGCTCTGGAACATAAGAATACTTATATTATTCATGGGCCATTGCGCACTGCGATTCAAAGTGCCTTTAGCTTCACACTCTCTATCGAGACTCAGAAACATGAACTAGATGCAATTTTTCATTATCTAATTTGTATTCTGTAGCGCTCCTCCGCGGCAAATTTCTCAAACAAGACAGACTAATTGAAATGGCTGACTCTACAAACATTGCGAAGTGCAGAAACTGCAAATGTACACTAAAAGCAATTGCAAGATGACACTTTGCATTACATCGTCAGTTTACAACCTAGGTTTTTTCCTTAGTTTCCCGAGATAAGTGTCGTGTGCTCATACCTCTAAGTGAACATAGTCGACAGCAGTGCGACAGTCAAGAAATATGGATTTGTACGACATCAGCACATCTCCACCTCGTACACCAGTTTTATCCTCAAGCCTAGAAGCGAACTTTA